AATCACAAGATACATCATAACTCCCTTTGTAGAGACAAGAACAAACACTAGGTGACCAGTTATGTCATCATTTACAAGGCTATAAGGCAGGTGACACTACCTTCCATGCTTGAGCTCTCCCCCTCTCCTACATTAGCTGCCTAAAATAAATGGAGGTTACTTTCTGAATAGCCCTTGTATTAGGGAAGAACATATAGAAGACATGAAAATTTGTGAACCATGGGATTTGGTTTTACTTTCATGGTATGACGATGTATACTGGGTATGGTTATTTGTGCATTTACAAGCATTATTACCTTTCCCTAACCCTTCATTCTATTTGTACCCTTCAAATTGGAAAATAGAAGCTGTATTATGCTCAAGCAAATATCATACTTATGGAGACCACTGAAATATTCAAGACCACATTCATAAAAATGAACAAATTATTTATAATTACTCACTCACGCTAGTCTTATTAAGGCATAACTATGCTTCTACCGATGCTTACCAAATCCTGACTCCAGATTTTAAAGAGCCTAGTTTATGTCCATGATGTGTATTTTTTCCAACCGTCTTACAGTGCACACAATTTCACCTGTCTCTTCACCTCCACACTACATGTTTCAGCACTAATGTGCCATCCTCAGGTGTGTCTATATCCACGTCAAACTACTGCACTGCATGCCATCACGTCTCCATCATAAAATGACTAAAATGCGTATTCATCATGTATAACAACAAAGTCTAAATACTAAAGCTTTGCAGGATTCATCATCCATACGTCGTATCTTAAATACGCGAGTCACGTCAATCCTCCTCTATGGGAGCACTCTTCCTACATTCTTGTGTGTATTGTGTTCTGTCCTTCTCTTGTGACTGCGTGCGTTGTATTGCAATTGGCACATTAGTGCTCAAACATGTACTGTGGAAGTGAAGAGACAGGTGAAATTGTGCGCACTGTAAGACAGTTGGCAAAAATACACATCATGGACATCAATCAGTGCAACAGGACACTAAAATATAACAGAGTCTAGTTTATTAGAAATTGTGACAATGCAAAATGTGAAATATAATAATTTACATACTTTCATTTTTGTATCTTGCAGACAACTTCTACCAAGAGTTGAGCTCCCATAGCAATCAATATTCTATAGATCTGAGTAATCCGATACATATAGAACTAGAAACTGGTGTGCAAGATTTGGTCAATGTGGTGCTCAAGAACAAGGGGAATGATGAGATTTGGAGGTCCCGAAGAACTCTTGAGTGATAATTCACCTTCAACCACTACTAACTTTACTGTTTAACACTTTGCGGACTGGCGATTTAAATATTTAACCTTTATCGGACGGGCCATTTAATTTCCGGTTGGGGCAGCTGAACGGACTTTATTTAAATGCCCGCCCTTCTAGAGCAATGAAATTGTAAGCATGTTTCTAAAAATGGTGTGATTTCTACATTTTTTATGATAAACGAACGAAATGAACGCTCCTTTAATGTAGAAAGAATATAGAATCAGATATTCTAATTTACAGATTTTAATATCTGTAAAAAATTTTTACACTGATTCCCAAAATAAAATTTCCCGAAATTCATACATTTTCTGCACTATGCATTCTAGCAGTGTAATACATTTTCTGCACCATGCGTTTTAGCAGTGTAAGTCCTTGTGGCGACTTCACATTCAATGGTGTCTCTTGTTGAAGCTTATTTATCGTATGGGGCATGTCGGTATGCACGATTGTATGCGTCTGAAATCGCTCGCTGCATAATGTGTTAGATAGACACAGGAGTTAATTCTCGGAATATGGTGTTGCCAGATCGGTCATTCGTTCATTCATTGCAGTCAAACCATTGTGTTTGTAACGATTTTGAAACATCGCAATATAAGGTTAGCCAGCCATGACATCATGTACTATGTTTGAAGCAGATATTCAGTTCAGCGAAGACGTGAATGAGATTTTTGTATGTGTGGGCTCGAGGTCATGATTTATGGCTTCTTATCGTGGTCTAAGCACAGAGATTCACTGCTAGAGAGCCGTATAGTTCACCATGGCCACACGACGTCGTATGGAAGATGCTGAAATTGAAACAGCTGTTCAATGACACAGATTCGGACTGCTATTCAACCGATTCTGAGAGTGGCGAGGAAAGTTGGAGTTCTGATTCCGCGGATGAAGGGTCATCACCTTCGTCGGCAACTTGGGGACCGCCAGACCAGTGTGGCTGGAGAGGTGTGAATAATTATTCCGGTGTAGCTGCGGGGATAAATATCACTGCAGCTCGACATCACTGGCCTGCTTCCCCTAAATCACAACTGAGGTGTCGTGTGTGCTCTTCGCGTGGGAAGCAGTCTAGCGTTCATACAAAGTGCANAATTTGTCCTTACTTTTAACGTCATATGACGTCGCTAGATTACATTAGATCATGCAGGAAGGAAGGCTGTCTCCTTATAAAGGTGGTGACCAAAAATCATGTAAATAGAACAATTTATATTTTTAATTTAATTTTTAAAAAAACCTTACACGCGTAGAATCCGCGACATCATATGATGACGTTCGGCCAGCTGCCCTAACTTTTAACGACATCATATGATGACGTTCGTCCAATAAAGGTTAAATCACGCTGGGGACCGGCATTTTTATACCTACTACCCTAACTTGTGCACTGTTCAGTTTAAAAATTAATATAAAATCTCCTAATTAATTATGAACTAAAAGTTTTGGAGAACACTTACCAATGCTGCTAGAAGTGCTTGAGGGTGTGATATTTCTGGAAACACTCCCTTTGTGAAGTGGCATTACACACTTGCAAATGTAGACATAGTCCTTTTTTTGTGAACTGCGCAAACATGACATTGCCTAGAAGGATGCTTCCCCTTGGAATGTTCACTCTTCACAGTTTTCACGAGGGTATGTTTCCGCATATCACCCGAGAGTCGCCCAGGGGTGTCCAAATGAGGCCTGTGTGGGGTGGGAGTTGATGGGCTAGGTCGCACTAAATCTGTCTGACTCTGGTTCTTTCACCATCATTTGGTCTGTAGCACAAGCCTTTACCACATTCATCAGAAATGCTTTGTATTTCCATTTTGAATCAGGGTTTAGATTTTTTGCTATCCCTGCAATGTTACTACACGCAATGTTATTACCTGCATTATCGTCGGAGCTACTGTCACATTTACTGTCTGTGGCCACAATTCTTTGTTCTCACCTGTCACTGCTGCTCTCTGAATCACCATTACTATGCGTCTCACAAGCCAGGTCAGCTAACCCTTCGGAGAATTTGTCCTTGATCCATTCTCCCCACTACCTACTGGCTGATACACACAGCTTGAAGAAGGCAAAGCATTTTCCTTTATAGTCGGTTAAATAAACAGCGAGGTCAAGTTACTGACTGCTAACTAAACATTCCAGAGTCTTATTACACATCTGCAGGCGGTGGCATGCAATGTAGGTGGCACCAGAGCGATGTATAGCACGTTGCAACTTATCGTGTTCTAAAAGCCTGTTACCACGCGAACGGTCCGCACATTTAAAAGCGAAAAACCTTTTAAAGGGTGTGCAGTCCGCAAAGTGTTAAGATGCATACACAACATAACTGAACACACACTGAACTTCTAATATGACAGCTTATTGGCAATCACAAAAACAATAAAAATGAGGGCCAAAGAAATAAAGCCCATAGACGAAAATTACTGCTGAAACGTACTGCACTTTGATCTTTTCTTAGCAAACTTTTCAGGTACCATGTCTGTATGGAGGCAATAAACAATGAAAATGCTAAAGAGTATAGGTTGGCAAAAAGGAGAATCTGTTTTGCAAAAAACTTTTGAATAAATTTTGTTATAAAACAAACGCTATAATTCCATTATTCAAGACAAATACACTAAAAAACAGTTCCAAAATAATTGCATCATGATCAACACTTGAACACAAAATATGGGTTGGGATGGCTTGATCAGATCAAGGCAGAATAAACAGGGGGACACATACAGGTACAGAAAAATAAATTATGACTATAAATATAAGTCTAATATAAAGATTAATTTATGGTGCTCTTCAAGAATTATATACTGATCTGTGCAGGGTGAATAAAGAAAGCAGAAGCTGATATACAAATTTTCATTAAAAAAAACAGTATTGGACCAAATTTAACAGACACTGCACAAGGTGCCGAAACTCTGTGGTTTCACGAAGTTACACTTCATATTAGATAAATTATTCTCCAATTGATCCAGAAGCTTTCTACAGAATGTTGAAGAAATGAATAATAAGCAGGCCACTTGATTGTATAAAAGCTGGTTTGGCAGCATCAGCACTTGTGCTTGACAGGAATCATTGGCCTGAACACATTAACTCTCAACTGACATTTGGGGAGAATGAAGTCCGAAAATCGTCAATTAGGTTTCAATCAAATGAAAGAGACACAATTCACAGATTTCATAAACACCTAACTAAGAAGATGGTTCTGGAAAAATCAAAGCATTTGGAGGGTGCTTTGAGTATGATACGAAATTCATGAAATGTATGTGAACAAGAATTTCCACAGAAGAGTCTGACTATTAGCCCAACCACGGCTTCACTGAAGACAATAACAATTTCTTCACTACTATTTCTTTAAATTGTGTGTCCACCCCCATCACGCTTCGATCCTGTGAACTATGTGGACTCATGGCTGCTTCAAAAGCATCATTCAGCCATAGACACACGCAGTGAGAAACAAAGTCAGGATATTGTGTCAGACAAGAATTTAACAAAATTTGGGATTTCCTGTAAAAAGTACATTATGAAACCAAGTGCCCTTTGTTTTTTAATGCTTGTACAATAAATATACATATGATAAATGGAGTGTTAATATACCTTACTGTTTTTAGTCCAACATTATCACAATATGAAACAACAATAGCAACAAATATATTTTTTTAATATGAAAACAGGAGTGCTAGCAAGGAATGAACACTAGCACTTTAAAAAACCTGCTGTAAATAAAAAGTATTTAAGACAGTGTGACAAACATACCATTACAATGAGTAATCATGCTCATTTTGCCTGCTCTTCATTTTAATTGTCTCATGGACCCAATTCTCAGTCACAATGTAGAACCTGCACCCTCTCTCTTCATTCAGACCTTTGATCTCATCAAGCCTTTCCTGTGACCTGAAATGTGTTACAATGTCATTTTAACCTTATGTGGGCAGTTACAAAAGTACAAATTTGCATGCCTAAGGTGAAGGTCAAAACTCATCCTATCCATAGAAAAAATGCAATCCATCATATCACAAAGCCTAGGCTTACCATTCTGCCATTATGTAACTTTGAATTGAATTTATTTACATTCTATAAATCCTAAGTAGGTTAGTACCTTTGGATACAGAACAAGTCAAAAGGTTACATACATAAGTACAGGCAATTTTAGCTTAAAAATTAATATAACTTAATTTTACATCATTCTCTATTTACATTGAAGTATTCATCTAAAGAGTAGAAGGAATGAGCATGTAGATAATTCTTTAACTCTGATTTAAACTTTTTAGTATCATTGCCCAAGTTTTT